TACTACATGTTCACTACAATTCTAGTATTTCAGGTTCACTACAACACTAGTACTACATGTTCATTACAACACTAGTACTACATGTTCACTACAATTCTAGTATTTCATGTTCACTACAACACTAATACTACATGTTCAACACAGCACTAGTAGGTACTACATGTTCACCACAGCACTAGTACGTACTACATGTTTCCTACAACACCCATCTACACTGTTTGTGTATCATGTATGTTGTCAGAGGAAATTGTTCCTACCTGGCTCTAATGTTCAGTATGAATTTATCGTATATTTATACCCTGATTCTATTTTTAATGAGCATTGTTTGTAAAGTATCAAACACGATAAATATGGTTACTGTACCGCGAGTAATTTCGTTTTTTTGTATTCTGACGATTGTATTCTGGAGTGTTTTGTTTTTCCAGCAAAAAAAATTACACGGGGAAAAGTTAGTTCTGGAGTAAGAACTACAAGTGATTAGCTCTAGAACCGATACTGTGTTACACCAGAGTATATCCTGGTTGAGGAGTTTCTTCAGGGGCCCATCTGAGCCCGAGCCCCGTCCTGCGGCTTGTGACACCCTCTTGAGGCATGTGCCAGTCGTAGGCCAATACCAATCTTATAGATGCCTGACAGAGGAGGTGAAGCAACTACGACGCTTAAAGGAGTAAGCCATGAAGGAGTCTTTGGCCTTAGAGTCGTTATTCAACAAGTGCTGTACAACTTTCTTAGTAATAATTGTTTTGTTAGTAATTCTACTATTGTAAATCCAGCTAAAATCCCGGTATAGACGATCCAAGAGTGTGTCTGAAGACATTGTTTGCAGGAGGCAAGGTCTCTGAAATCAATCTGCCCAGGCAATCTCGAGTGATGTTTATTGGCACTCGAACACACTTGAAATTGAAAATATTTGATCCACATATCTGGACCGAAAATTATTTTGATGAATTTTTAAGAAAAACCCAAACTGACAAAGAACGTTTGAGGTTGTTTCGACTCCTGGCTGCATTTTTTTATTAAGCCCACGAACGTAAGATAACGTTTAATAAAAATTGGCAAAGATACCTCCGTGTAACAAAAGATGAACGTGGACAAACCTTCATATATATATGCGATAAATTACATCACTTAGGAACAACAAAGGAAAGGATTTGCATCGATGCCCGACAGTGGACGACAAAGAAAACAAATTAAAATGTTTATGACCTCTGTTTCCTCATAGAAAAAGGGAGGGAAGAAATGAAAATGGTCCCCTATCGGCTTCGTCAGATGTTGTATAAAGCATTATTTGGGGACCCGAATTTGATTCCAAGTGCCAGGTAACTCCATAGAGTCCTCTACATATCGCTCTTGGTACATAATATAGATAATTCAGGTGTCTGTTACTGTTGTAATCGTTTACGTTGTTGTTGTGCTTTGATACACCTTGCTATAAAATTTTATAGGGAAATGAGAGAGGAAGAAAAGATAAGAATGATGAAAGAATAATAAGAAATTTAAAAAATACAAACAAGAGCTTAACGACGATGAATAATGAACGATAATAAAAAAAACAAAGAACAAAAAGAAATAAGGAAAAAAGAAGGCCAGTGAGAATAACAAAAATAGTGAGAAAGGAAAATCAGATATAGACTGAGAAACAGAAATTTAAAAGGGCAAAAATATCGAATGAGAAAATGAAAAATGGAAAAACTGAAAAGTAGAAGTAAATTGAATAAAAACAAAGACGAAGGAAATGGGTAGAAAATAATTGAATAACAGACAAAAATATGAGAGGAAAAATGATGAAACTATGAGAAAAAAACAAGAGATTATAGGAGAAAAGGGAAGGAAAAGGAGTTGACAATTAATTTATTAAAGATCGATTCACACTACCCAACACTAGTACTACATGTTTACTACAACACTAGTACTACATGTTTACTACAACACTAGTATTACATGTTTACTACAACACTAGTACTACATGTTTACTACAACACTAGTATTACATGTTCACTACAACACTAGTACTACATGTTTACTACAACACTAGTACTACATGTTTACTACAACACTAGTACTACATGTTTACTATAACACTAGTACTACATGTTTACTACAACACTAGTACTACATGTTTACTACAACACTAGTACTACATGTTTACTACAACACTAGTACTACATGTTCACTACAACACTAGTACTACATGTTTACTACAACACTAGTACTACATGTTTACTACAACACTAGTACTACATGTTTACTACAACACTAGTACTACATGTTTACTACAACACTAGTACTACATGTTTACTACAACACTAGTACTACATGTTCACTACAACACTAGTACTACATGTTTACTACAACACTAGTACTACATGTTTACTACAACACTAGTATTACATGTTCACTACAACACTAGTACTACATGTTTACTACAACACTAGTACTACATGTTTACTACAACACTAGTACTACATGTTTACTACAACACTAGTATTACATGTTCACTACAACACTAGTACTACATGTTTACTACAACACTAGTACTACATGTTTACTATAACACTAGTACTACATGTTTACTACAACACTAGTACTACATGTTTACTACAACACTAGTACTACATGTTTACTACAACACTAGTACTACATGTTTACTACAACACTAGTACTACATGTTTACTACAACACTAGTACTACATGTTTACTACAACACTAGTACTACATGTTTACTACAACACTAGTACTACATGTTTACTACAACACTAGTACTACATGTTTACTACAACACTAGTACTACATGTTTACTACAACACTAGTACTACATGTTCACTACAACACTAGTACTACATGTTTACTACAACACTAGTACTACATGTTTACTACAACACTAGTATTACATGTTCACTACAACACTAGTACTACATGTTTACTACAACACTAGTATTACATGTTCACTACAACACTAGTACTACATGTTTACTACAACACTAGTACTACATGTTTACTACAACACTAGTACTACATGTTTACTACAACACTAGTATTACATGTTCACTACAACACTAGTACTACATGTTTACTACAACACTAGTACTACATGTTTACTACAACACTAGTACTACATGTTTACTACAACACTAGTATTACATGTTCACTACAACACTAGTAATACATGTTTACTACAACACTAGTACTACATGTTTACTATAACACTAGTACTACATGTTTACTACAACACTAGTACTACATGTTTACTACAACACTAGTATTACATGTTCACTACAACACTAGTACTACATGTTTACTACAACACTAGTATTACATGTTCACTACAACACTAGTACTACATGTTTACTACAACACTAGTACTACATGTTTACTACAACACTAGTACTACATGTTTACTACAACACTAGTACTACATGCTTCATTATAACACTAGTACTACATGTTTCACATAACACTAGTACTACATGTTTACTACAAACAATTAGTATTACATGTTCAATTACAACACTAGTACCACATGCTTCACACAACAATAGTAATACATGTTTACTACAACACTAAATACATGTTTACTACAGCAAACACTAGTACTACATGTTGGTTATAACACTAGTACTACATGTTTTACTACAACACTATACTACATGTTTACTACAACACTAGTACTACATGTTTACTACAACACTAGTACTACATGTTCACTACAACACTAGTACTACATGTTTACTACAACACTAGTACTACATGTTTACTACAACACTAGTACTACATGTTTACTACAACACTAGTACTACATGTTTACTACAACACTAGTACTACATGTTTACTACAACACTAGTACTACATGTTCACTACAACACTAGTACTACATGTTCACCACATCACTTGTACTACATGTTCACTACAACACTAGTACTACATGTTTACTACAACACTAGTACTACATGTTTACTACAACACTAGTACTACATGTTCACTACAACACTAGTACTACATGTTCACTACAACACTAGTACTACATGTTTACTGCAACACTAGTACTACATGTTTACTACAACACTAGTATTACATGTTTACTACAACACTAGTATTACATGTTCACTACAACACTAGTACTACATGTTTACTACAACACTAGTACTACATGTTTACTACAACACTAGTACTACATGTTTACTACAACACTAGTACTACATGTTTACTACAACACTAGTATTACATGTTACTACAACACTAGTACTACATGTTTACTACAACACTAGTACTACATGTTTACTACAACACTAGTACTACATGTTCACTACAACACTAGTACTACATGTTTACTACAACACTAGTACTACATGTTTACTACAACACTAGTACTACATGTTTACTACAACACTAGTACTACATGTTTACTACAACACTAGTACTACATGTTTACTACAACACTAGTACTACATGTTCACTACAACACTAGTACTACATGTTCACTACAACACTAGTACTACATGTTCACTACAACACTGGTACTACATGTTCACTACAACACTAGTACTACATGTTCACTACAACACTAGTACTACATGTTCACTACAACACTAGTACTACATGTTCACTACAACACATGTAGTACAATAGTTGTATAATTATGTTCATTACACCTCGTATTCAAAACTATAGTAACAAGTGCAGTACCTCTTACTACATTAATTACACTGAGGTAAACTCCCCCTCCTTACTAAACTCCCCCTCCTTACTAGAGTGATCACTTAATTAACCCAATAATAACGATGGCCTACGCTCCCCGATCAAGAGTCTCAGGCGGTAATTTTCACGATTATGATGCATTCGGGGTGTACGTTCAAAACATCTCGTTTCAATGTTCATATGAGGATGTTGTATGTATATTTAATGAATATGGGGGCATGAAGGATTGTTATATGCCATATAATAATGATGGAACCTGGCACCGTGGCATTGCCAAAATCCGTTATTGTGATTAGCGGCACCAAATGTTGGCCCTCGAGAATAATGGACGACTGGTGTACAACCGACCCCTGAAAGTTTCCGTCTTGTATGCCAAACGCAGAACACACCGTAACAATTATAACGATCCACATTATTATTATAATCAACCTTGTTATGAGGAAGAGCAATATGTCTCTAATCATCAGTCACAAGACTATCCCCAGGTGCCTCGTGAGACACCTTACCATGATGAAAGTGAACATGATCGTCGTGGGGAGGATGTCGAGAGCAGTCGTCTACACCCTCGGAAACGACCTATTGCACAGGAAACTGACGACAAGTCGTACAGTGAGGCGAAGAAGGCCCGCCTTCCCTCTCAGGAACGACCTATTCCTCAGGAGACTGTAGAGGAGGCGTGCAATGAGGAGGAGAACGACCATCTTCCCCCTCAGGAACGACCTATTCCACAGGAAACTGTAGAGGAGGCGTGCAATGAGGAGGAGAACGACCACCTTCCCCCTCAGGAACGACCTATTCCTCAGGAAACTGTAGAGGAGGCGTGCAATGAGGAGGAGAACGACCACATTCCCCCTCAGGAACGACCTATTCCTCAGGAAACTGACGACGATTCGTCCAGTGAGGAGGAGGACGACCATCTTCCTCCTCAGAAACGTCAACGTCCACAGGAAACTGACGACAAGTCGTCCAGTAAGAAGGAGGACGACCATCTTCCTCCTCAGAAACGTCAACGTCGTCTCTCGGAAAGTGACGATGAGTCATCCAGTGAGGAGGAGGACGACCATCTTCCCCCTCAGGAACGACCTATTCCTCAGGAAACTGACGACGATTCGTCCAGTGAGGAGGAGGACGACCATCTTCCCCCTCAGAAACGTCAACGTCCACAGGAAACTGACGACAAGTCGTCCAGTAAGAAGGAGGACGACCATCTTCCTCCTCAGAAACGTCAACGTCGTCTCTCGGAAAGTGACGATGAGTCGTCCAGTGAGGAGGAGGACGACCATCTTCCCCCTCAGAAACGTCAACGTCCACAGGAAACTGACGACAAGTCGTCCAGTAAGAAGGAGGACGACCATCTTCCTCCTCAGAAACGTCAACGTCGTCTCTCGGAAAGTGACGATGAGTCGTCCGTTGAGAAGACGAAAAGTTTTCCATTGATGGGGACGACACTTTGTCTCTCGGAAAGTGACGATGAGTCCGGTGAGGAGGGGACGATAAGTCGTCCAGTGAAGAGCAGGACGAGAAGTATTTTCTCGGAAAGTGAGGATGAGTCGTCCGGTGAGGAGGCTCAGTGAGGTGTTTAGGTTCTTTTTGTATAATGAATTAATAAATAATATAAAGGTACTAGTGTGTCCCTTGACCTACCTACAGTATATACTTTAAACAACAAATTCAACAACTTATTTAATACTACTACTACCTGTACTACTACTGCTAATATAATAATACAATATAATATAATATAATACAATACAATACAATACAATACAATATAATAATAAATCAGAGTAAATCCCCTAAATTAATATACTCGCTCTCAAGAGTGATTCACCTGACAGTTGTAATGGACTGTGGCGGAGAATCACCTCGAAGTATTACCTGTTCAAGGTGGAGTTCAGATGTATGGCAACTATGTACAGTCCCCTTCACTTGTACGTTTACAGGGGCTCGTCATATAAACATTCAACAATTTATTATCTTTGAGCTATTTGTTTTAATATTGTTTTAATTTGATTACAACATATTTGAACTATTTTACGCTTCTTTGTCGAATGTAAACAAACACAGGTTTGCCACACTGAACAAAACCTGACTACCCCCTGTGGACGCACTAGTGAAGGGAACTATACCTGTACCTACAGTAATTATCCTCACACCATTACGATGTGATGTCAATACTATTCAACGTGTGCCCGAACAGTCTCCCACCAGTCTGGATATGGACTCAGTTATCCAGTTCCTCCTTGTGTTATAACCGACTGATAATGTTGATCACCATAAGCTGCAGTAAGTTCTCATTCCACTAATATGTGTGTATGTATGTAATTGTTTGTGTGTATATATATATGTGTGTGTGTGTGTGTGTGTGTGTGTCTGTGTAAAATAATAAAACGGTTTATTGAAAAAGTTTGCAGCCCGAAGGCTGAAAATACACATTGGACATAAATGACTTATTACATACATTGGTGGTTTAACAAAAGCCTTCATTAGAGAAAGGTGAAGGAACATATACAGTGAACATACAGATTAATGTTTACACACGTAGATCATGTGAGCTGAGGTGTTGAACAGCAGACACGTAGTGTAGTAACTCCCTCACAGATGGCGTTATGAGGAGCATCACGTGGAGTACTAGTTCCCTCACAGGTGGTGTTATGAGGGGCTTAACGTGGTGTAGTAATTCCCTCACAGATGGTGTTACGAAGGGCCTGATGATGTAGTAGTTCCCCCACAGATGGTGTATGAGGGGCCTGATGAGGTAGTAGATTATGACGAAAATTACGATGTTATTTACTTAGACTTTAGCAAAGCATTTGACAGAGTACCGCATCAGAGGCTTCTGAGAAAAATTAAGGCTCATGGTATCGAGGGGAAAGTTTTTAATTGGATAAAATCATGGCTCACCGGTAGAAAGCAAAGGGTCAGCGTAGATGGTGTTAAATCTGAGTGGGGCCGTGTAACCAGTGGGGTTCCCCAGGGGTCAGTACTAGGCCCACTCTTGTTCATAATCTACATAAACGATCTAGATACTGGGATCAGCAGTGACATAAGCAAGTTTGCGGATGACACCAAAATAGGGCGACAGATTAATTCAGGGCAGGATGCAAATGCATTACAGGAGGATCTAAATAAACTGCAGGGGTGGTCTGACAAATGGCAAATGAAATTCAACACCAGCATGTGCAGCGTACTTAATATTGGAAGAACAAATACTTATAATGTATACAGCCTTAACAACATCAACCTAGAGAAGTCGACTTGTGAAAGAGACCTAGGGGTACTTGTAAGCCCGGACCTACGGCCTAGAAAACAGTGCGTTAATGTTCACTATAACACTAGTAATACATGTTCACTATAACACTAGTACTACATGTTCACTATAACTCTAGTACTATATGTTCACTATCACACTAGTACTACTTGTTCACTATAACACTAGTACTACATGTTCACTATAACACTAGTACTTCATGTTCACTATAACACTAGTACTACAGGTTCACTATAACACTAGTACTGCATGTTCACTATAACACTAGTACTACATGTTCACTATAACACTAGTACTGCATGTTCACTATAACACTAGTACTACATGTTCACTATAACACTAGTACTACATGTTCACTATAACACAAGTACTTCATGTTCACTATAACACTAGTACTACATGTTCACTATAACACTAGTACTGCATGTTCACTATAACACTAGTACTACATGTTCACTATAACACTAGTACTGCATGTTCACTATAACACTAGTACTACATGTTCACTATAACACTAGTACTACATGTTCACTATAACACTAGTACTTCATGTTCACTATAACACTAGTACTACATGTTCAATATAACACTAGTACTGCATGTTCACTATAACACTAGTACTACATGTTCACTACAACACTAGTACTACATGTTCACTACAACACTAGTACTACATGTTCACTATAACACTAGTACTACATGTTCACTACAACACCAGTACTCATGTTCACTACAACACTAGTACTACATGTTCACTACAACACTAGTACTACATGTTCACTACAACACTAGTACTACATGTTCACTACAACACTAGTACTACATATTCACTACAACACTGGTACTACATGTTCACTACAACACTAGTACTACATGTTCACTACAACACTAGTACTACATGTTCACTACAACACTAGTACTACATGTTCACTACAACACATGTAGTACAATAGTTGTATAATTATGTTCATTACACCTCGTATTCAAAACTATAGTAACAAGTGCAGTACCTCTTACTACATTAATTACACTGAGGTAAACTCCCCCTCCTTACTAAACTCCCCCTCCTTACTAGAGTGATCACTTAATTAACCCAATAATAACGATGGCCTACGCTCCCCGATCAAGAGTCTCAGGCGGTAATTTTCACGATTATGATGCATTCGGGGTGTACGTTCAAAACATCTCGTTTCAATGTTCATATGAGGATGTTGTATGTATATTTAATGAATATGGGGGCATGAAGGATTGTTATATGCCATATAATAATGATGGAACCTGGCACCGTGGCATTGCCAAAATCCGTTATTGTGATTAGCGGCACCAAATGTTGGCCCTCGAGAATAATGGACGACTGGTGTACAACCGACCCCTGAAAGTTTCCGTCTTGTATGCCAAACGCAGAACACACCGTAACAATTATAACGATCCACATTATTATTATAATCAACCTTGTTATGAGGAAGAGCAATATGTCTCTAATCATCAGTCACAAGACTATCCCCAGGTGCCTCGTGAGACACCTTACCATGATGAAAGTGAACATGATCGTCGTGGGGAGGATGTCGAGAGCAGTCGTCTACACCCTCGGAAACGACCTATTGCACAGGAAACTGACGACAAGTCGTACAGTGAGGCGAAGAAGGCCCGCCTTCCCTCTCAGGAACGACCTATTCCTCAGGAGACTGTAGAGGAGAACGACCATCTTCCCCCTCAGGAACGACCTATTCCACAGGAAACTGTAGAGGAGGCGTGCAATGAGGAGGAGAACGACCATCTTCCCCCTCAGGAACGACCTATTCCACAGGAAACTGTAGAGGAGGCGTGCAATGAGGAGGAGAACGACCACATTCCCCCTCAGGAACGACCTATTCCTCAGGAAACTGTAGAGGAGGCGTGCAATGAGGAGGAGAACGACCACATTCCCCCTCAGGAACGACCTATTCCACAGGAAACTGTAGAGGAGGCGTGCAATAAGGAGGAGAACGACCATCTTCCCCCTCAGGAACGACCTATTCCACAGGAAACTGTAGAGGAGGCGTGCAATGAGGAGGAGAACGACCACATTCCCCCTCAGGAACGACCTATTCCTCAGGAAACTGACGACGATTCGTCCAGTGAGGAGGAGGACGACCATCTTCCTCCTCAGAAACGTCAACGTCCACAGGAAACTGACGACAAGTCGTCCAGTAAGAAGGAGGACGACCATCTTCCCCCTCAGAAACGTCAACGTCGTCTCTCGGAAACTGACGACGATTCGTCCAGTGAGGAGGAGGACGACCATCTTCCTCCTCAGAAACGTCAACGTCCACAGGAAACTGACGACAAGTCGTCCAGTAAGAAGGAGGACGACCATCTTCCTCCTCAGAAACGTCAACGTCCACAGGAAACTGACGACAAGTCGTCCAGTAAGAAGGAGGACGACCATCTTCCCCCTCAGAAACGTCAACGTCGTCTCTCGGAAACTGACGACAAGTCGTCCAGTGAGGAGGAGGACGACCATCTTCCTCCTCAGAAACGTCAACGTCCACAGGAAACTGACGACAAGTCGTCCAGTAAGAAGGAGGACGACCATCTTCCTCCTCAGAAACGTCACGTCGTCTCTCGGAAAGTGACGATGAGTCGTCCGTTGAGAAGACGAAAAGCTTTCCATTGATGGGGACGACACTTTGTCTCTCGGAAAGTGACGATGAGTCCGGTGAGGAGGGGACGATAAGTCGTCCAGTGAAGAGCAGGACGAGAAGTATTTTCTCGGAAAGTGAGGATGAGTCGTCCGGTGAGGAGGCTCAGTGAGGTGTTTAGGTTATTTTTGTATAATGAATTAATAAATAATATAAAGGTACTAGTGTGTCCCTTGACCTACCTACAGTATATACTTTAAACAACAAATTCAACAACTTATTTAATACTACTACTACCTGTACTACTACTGCTAATATAATAATACAATATAATATAATATAATACAATACAATACAATACAATACAATATAATAATAAATCAGAGTAAATCCCCTAAATTAATATACTCGCTCTCAAGAGTGATTCACCTGACAGTTGTAATGGACTGTGGCGGAGAATCACCTCGAAGTATTACCTGTTCAAGGTGGAGTTCAGATGTATGGCAACTATGTACAGTCCCCTTCACTTGTACGTTTACAGGGGCTCGTCATATAAACATTCAACAATTTATTATCTTTGAGCTATTTGTTTTAATATTGTTTTAATTTGATTACAACATATTTGAACTATTTTACGCTTCTTTGTCGAATGTAAACAAACACAGGTTTGCCACACTGAACAAAACCTGACTACCCCCTGTGGACGCACTAGTGAAGGGAACTATACCTGTACCTACAGTAATTATCCTCACACCATTACGATGTGATGTCAATACTATTCAACGTGTGCCCGAACAGTCTCCCACCAGTCTGGATATGGACTCAGTTATCCAGTTCCTCCTTGTGTTATAACCGACTGATAATGTTGATCACCATAAGCTGCAGTAAGTTCTCATTCCACTAATATGTGTGTATGTATGTAATTGTTTGTGTGTATATATATATGTGTGTGTGTGTGTGTGTGTGTGTGTCTGTGTAAAATAATAAAACGGTTTATTGAAAAAGTTTGCAGCCCGAAGGCTGAAAATACACATTGGACATAAATGACTTATTACATACATTGGTGGTTTAACAAAAGCCTTCATTAGAGAAAGGTGAAGGAACATATACAGTGAACATACAGATTAATGTTTACACACGTAGATCATGTGAGCTGAGGTGTTGAACAGCAGACACGTAGTGTAGTAACTCCCTCACAGATGGCGTTATGAGGAGCATCACGTGGAGTACTAGTTCCCTCACAGGTGGTGTTATGAGGGGCTTAACGTGGTGTAGTAATTCCCTCACAGATGGTGTTACGAAGGGCCTGATGATGTAGTAGTTCCCCCACAGATGGTGTATGAGGGGCCTGATGAGGTAGTAGATTATGACGAAAATTACGATGTTATTTACTTAGACTTTAGCAAAGCATTTGACAGAGTACCGCATCAGAGGCTTCTGAGAAAAATTAAGGCTCATGGTATCGAGGGGAAAGTTTTTAATTGGATAAAATCATGGCTCACCGGTAGAAAGCAAAGGGTCAGCGTAGATGGTGTTAAATCTGAGTGGGCCGTGTAACCAGTGGGGTTCCCCAGGGGTCAGTACTAGGCCCACTCTTGTTCATAATCTACATAAACGATCTAGATACTGGGATCAGCAGTGACATAAGCAAGTTTGCGGATGACACCAAAATAGGGCGACAGATTAATTCAGGGCAGGATGCAAATGCATTACAGGAGGATCTAAATAAACTGCAGGGGTGGTCTGACAAATGGCAAATGAAATTCAACACCAGCATGTGCAGCGTACTTAATATTGGAAGAACAAATACTTATAATGTATACAGCCTTAACAACATCAACCTAGAGAAGTCGACTTGTGAAAGAGACCTAGGGGTACTTGTAAGCCCGGACCTACGGCCTAGAAAACAGTGCGTTAATGTTCACTATAACACTAGTAATACATGTTCACTATAACACTAGTACTACATGTTCACTATAACTCTAGTACTATATGTTCACTATCACACTAGTACTACTTGTTCACTATAACACTAGTACTACATGTTCACTATAACACTAGTACTTCATGTTCACTATAACACTAGTACTACAGGTTCACTATAACACTAGTACTGCATGTTCACTATAACACTAGTACTACATGTTCACTATAACACTAGTACTGCATGTTCACTATAACACTAGTACTACATGTTCACTATAACACTAGTACTACATGTTCACTATAACACAAGTACTTCATGTTCACTATAACACTAGTACTACATGTTCACTATAACACTAGTACTGCATGTTCACTATAACACTAGTACTACATGTTCACTATAACACTAGTACTGCATGTTCACTATAACACTAGTACTACATGTTCACTATAACACTAGTACTACATGTTCACTATAACACTAGTACTTCATGTTCACTATAACACTAGTACTACATGTTCAATATAACACTAGTACTGCATGTTCAATATAACACTAGTACTACATGTTCACTACAACACTAGTACTACATGTTCACTACAACACTAGTACTACATGTTCACTATAACACTAGTACTACATGTTCACTACAACACCAGTACTCATGTTCACTACAACACTAGTACTACATGTTCACTACAACACTAGTACTACATGTTCACTACAACACTAGTACTACATGTTCACTACAACACTAGTACTACATGTTCACTACAACACTGGTACTACATGTTCACTACAACACTAGTACTACATGTTCACTACAACACTAGTACTACATGTTCACTACAACACTAGTACTACATGTTCACTACAACACATGTAGTACAATAGTTGTATAATTATGTTCATTACACCTCGTATTCAAAACTATAGTAACAAGTGCAGTACCTCTTACTACATTAATTACACTGAGGTAAACTCCCCCTCCTTACTAAACTCCCCCTCCTTACTAGAGTGATCACTTAATTAACCCAATAATAACGATGGCCTACGCTCCCCGATCAAGAGTCTCAGGCGGTAATTTTCACGATTATGATGCATTCGGGGTGTACGTTCAAAACATCTCGTTTCAATGTTCATATGAGGATGTTGTATGTATATTTAATGAATATGGGGGCATGAAGGATTGTTATATGCCATATAATAATGATGGAACCTGGCACCGTGGCATTGCCAAAATCCGTTATTGTGATTAGCGGCACCAAATGTTGGCCCTCGAGAATAATGGACGACTGGTGTACAACCGACCCCTGAAAGTTTCCGTCTTGTATGCCAAACGCAGAACACACCGTAACAATTATAACGATCCACATTATTATTATAATCAACCTTGTTATGAGGAAGAGCAATATGTCTCTAATCATCAGTCACAAGACTATCCCCAGGTGCCTCGTGAGACACCTTACCATGATGAAAGTGAACATGATCGTCGTGGGGAGGATGTCGAGAGCAGTCGTCTACACCCTCGGAAACGACCTATTGCACAGGAAACTGACGACAAGTCGTACAGTGAGGCGAAGAAGGCCCGCCTTCCCTCTCAGGAACGACCTATTCCTCAGGAGACTGTAGAGGAGAACGACCATCTTCCCCCTCAGGAACGACCTATTCCACAGGAAACTGTAGAGGAGGCGTGCAATGAGGAGGAGAACGACCATCTTCCCCCTCAGGAACGACCTATTCCACAGAGCTGTAGAGGCGTGATGCAATGGGGAGAGAACAAACCATTCCCCTCAGGACGACCTATTCCTCCAGGAGCTGTGGGAGGGCGTGCAATGAGAACGACCATTCCCCCTCAGGGACGACCTATTCACAGAGCTGTAGAGGAGGCGTGCAATAAGGAGAGACGACCATCTTCCCCCTCCAGAACGACCTATTCACAGGGGAAACTGTAGAGGAGCGTGCAATGGGGAGGAGACGACCCATTCCTCAGGAACGACCTGTTCTCAGAGCCCCAGGCAGACTGATCCAGTGAGGAGGACAGCCATCTTCATCCTCAAAACGTCAACGTCCACAGGAGCTGACGACAAAGTCGTCCAGTAAGGAAGGAGGACGTATCACTTCCTGGAAACGTCAACGTCGTCTCCTCCAGAGCGGCGACGATTCGTCCAGTGAGGAGGAGGACGACCATCTTCCTCCTCAGAAACGTCAACGTCCACAGGAAACTGACGACAAGTCGTCCAGTAAGAAGGAGGACGACCATCTTCCTCCTCAGAAACGTCAACGTCCACAGGAAACTGACGACAAGTCGTCCAGTAAGAAGGAGGACGACCATCTTCCCCCTCAGAAACGTCAACGTCGTCTCTCGGAAACTGACGACAAGTCGTCCAGTGAGGAGGAGGACGACCATCTTCCTCCTCAGAAACGTCAACGTCCACAGGAAACTGACGACAAGTCGTCCAGTAAGAAGGAGGACGACCATCTTCCTCCTCAGAAACGTCACGTCTTCTCTCGGAAAGTGACGATGAGTCGTCCGTTGAGAAGACGAAAAGCTTTCCATTGATGGGGACGACACTTTGTCTCTCGGAAAGTGACGATGAGTCCGGTGAGGAGGGGACGATAAGTCGTCCAGTGAAGAGCAGGACGAGAAGTATTTTCTCGGAAAGTGAGGATGAGTCGTCCGGTGAGGAGGCTCAGTGAGGTGTTTAGGTTATTTTTGTATAATGAATTAATAAATAATATAAAGGTACTAGTGTGTCCCTTGACCTACCTACAGTATATACTTTAAACAACAAATTCAACAACTTATTTAATACTACTACTACCTGTACTACTGCTGCTAATATAATAATACAATATAATATAATATAATACAATACAATACAATACAATATAATAATAAATCAGAGTAAATCCCCTAAATTAATATACTCGCTCTCAAGAGTGATTCACCTGACAGTTGTAATGGACTGTGGCGGAGAATCACCTCGAAGTATTACCTGTTCAAGGTGGAGTTCAGATGTATGGCAACTATGTACAGTCCCCTTCACTTGTACGTTTACAGGGGCTCGTCATATAAACATTCAACAATTTATTATCTTTGAGCTATTTGTTTTAATATTGTTTTAATTTGATTACAACATAATTTGAACTATTTACGCTATTTTGTCAGATGTAAGCAAACACAGGTTTGCCACACTAGACAAAAACCTGACGACCCCCTGTAAACGCACTAGTGAAGGGGACTGTACCTGTACCTACAGTAATTATCCTCACACCATTACAATCTGATGTCAATACTATTCAACGCGTGCCCGAACAGTCTCCCACCGCTCTGGATATGGACACAGTTATCCAGTTCCTCCTTGTGTTATAACCGACTGATAAAGTTGATCACCATAAGCTGCAGTAAGTTCTCATTCCACTAATATGTATGTATGTATGAAATTGTTTGTGTATATATATGTGTGTTTGTGTGTGTGTGTGTGTGTGTGTGTGTGTGTGTGTGTGTGTGTGTGTGTGTAAAATAATAAAACGGTTTATTGAAAAAGTTTGCAGCCCGAAGGCTGAAAATACTCATTGTACATAAATGACTTATTACATACATTAGTGGTTA